GGTAATAAATGAGCATCAGCCAACGAGAGCTGTTCGCGCATTAGCTCCGCCCACTGCCGAGAAACCGGCATATCTTCTGCTTGTTCTTAAAAGCTGAATAATTCTAAATGAACTCTGTTATTTTGACAGGAAAATACAACAACGAATATAGTTTACATGTAGCGCGTCGATTCAGCATGGTATGCAAGACTCTCGCTCTCTCTCTTTGCATGTGTGAGAAACACAGCGCTATCAGTAAAGCGACGGCGAGTCGTGCGCCTTCACACTAGTTTACGGTACGTCAAATACAGGTGCTCTGCGTGCTACATACTGCACATCCATTGAGTACATGACGAACCATTGAGCGCATCCAAATAGTACAGATCACTTGACGGAGAGCGAAACTCTCAAGCGCTTAGTCAGCGTGTTTATCGAGTGAAAATCTGTGTTGAACGCCTCTCACACACATACTGGTGTGTAAAATCTAAGAAATGATTAGCCAATGGCTAATGTTAGACATTATTTAGTCGCCCAGAGTAAGATTTAGTCGCATATGCGAGTGATTTACTCGCAATGTAGAGGGTTGCTCTATCAGAACAGACATGAAACCCATTCTTGGGTCGCAATCCTACAAAAAAATCAAACAATGCATTACTCTGTCATGGAAAATAGCTAAATAACTGTCTTGCTTGTTAGCTAGCAAATATTACATAAGGATGAGAGTAACACTGGAGCATTATTACTATCACTGCATTCATGTCAGGTCATGCAACTTGGTCTTCAAATGTATGTACTTACAGTATATACTATACTTACAGTATATACTGAAGTATATACTGTAACTTTTTTGTTACTTTTTTAAACCTTTTTTTTTTGCAGATTTACATGGCATCACTTGCCACTATATGCTTGAAGAATGAGGACACAATAGAAAATTCCAGTTTCCAGTAGCTCCACATTAAGCAGGAAAACCACATAGATTCCAGTCGTTTATGTTTCTTGGCTTGTTTAAATGGGGGATAATATAACCTCTGCTCTGTCTGTTGGGGACACAAAGTAGAACAGCATTTTTCATTCAACGGTTCAGTGTATGACAGCCAGCAAACTAATATAAATGCATCACGGGACCAGCAGTCAGCAAAATCGAACAAATATAACTTTCAAGCACAGTTAAAATTGAAAGTGCGGATTCCTCTTAATTTAGGCCAAGTGCTTCACAAAATTTCCACAGGGCTCTTTGGCTTGATGCATCAGAGGAACAGATGGAGAACACAACACAGTGGCAGAGCGCAGTTATTATGGTCTTGCACATTTACGGAAAAAGAAAAAAAAAAACCTCACTGCAACATAATGGATTCTTTGCCGGATCCGCTTTCCCAAGCCTGTGGAAACACTGATGCAAATGTATATTTTAAAGATCATGATTCGCAGAGAGATTTGAGCATTTCCCCTTTGAAGCAGGAGCTCAGGGGCTTTTGTGAGGGTATTGCACTGCTGTGTCCCACTGCTGTTCAGGAAGACAGAAGTAATATTCTCTGGTGAATTAATGCAGTGTCTCTAATTCTGTCTTCCCTACATCTCCTCTCTTAGTGCCGTGGGGATTGAACGAGCGAATAGAGTAATGAACATGGAAAAAGAGCTACTACTGCCAAAATTCAAAAACAGGCAGCTGAAGGATGGATGGAAGGCAAGAAAAAAACATTGAAAAGACTATTCAAATCCCCTACTTCTAGAAAAGGACTCAAAGGATTAAAACAAATCTCTCAAGTAATGTTGAAGAGGGTCCTTTAATGCATTCAACTGTATATTAAATGGACAACATTAAGCGCTCCACAGGTATAAGTAGGCCTGTCGCAATAATCAATATATCGACTTATCGCGCAATATATGTACATGACCGCAATAATTTTTGGTGACGCAATAAATCGGCCATTATATTTACTTAAAAATGTATGTCACCATGTTTTGTACATTTCACTTGCGCCTGTGTCTTTTGCAGCTTCTCATACATAAAGTGGTGTAGTCATGAGGTGCTAGTTCAAATTTAAAAAATGCTTCTACAAAAAAAGTTTAATCTGCAGATATGGCCTTGTTTAGGGATCTGTGCCTTTGCATACAGACATCTGACTGCTAAGTAGTGATTGTGTTTTTCAGCAATAGTGTGCACCCTTAATTTACAGAGAAAAGAAGGTCCGGGAAAAATCTGTAGATGGAAAAATCTGCACACAAGTTCTTTGTGCATTTTTCTTTTTTTCTACTTGTTACTTTGCACTTTTTGTTAGAAAATGTTTATTTACTATTTATTCAGGTTTTTTAAGGTATCCAATATTTTGATACTTAATTTCCATGATCTAAATATTCTTAAAAATTTAAAGTTTGTTGTCATTTGGAAGTGTGTAGGCCTTCTTGCATTATTATGCTGTTACATTATGATTATATATTCAGTGGCATAAAATGGTCTTTAAAATGACAATAATATCGCTTATCACAATTATTTCTGGCGCAATATATCGCACAACAAAAAGTTGTTATAGTGACAGGCCTAGGTATAAGGTGGTATATACATTAAATATAAAATAGCAGTCATAAAGGTATTGCATGTCATTTTTTTAATATTTGACAGCATGCTGTATAGGTGATAAACACTGAAGAATCCAGAAATTTGCTATTATTTATAGAGCCACAGGAAGTGTTGCTTTAAAGGAATATCCCATGTTTGGTACAAATAAAGCTCCAACAGCATTTATGCATTTATTAGTGAAATTTAGTTTAGTTTAAAATGATTTATTTAGCAAAATAAGATGAAGCATATGCAATGTAAATATATGGGAAGCCAGTTTTTGACAAAGTTTATATATATATAAAAAAAAAAACAATTCTGTTAAAAGGATCATTAAAATACATGTTAAATTAGTAACTATATAAATTGCATAAATTCCCAACATTGTATAGTACTTTTAGGGTTTCAGAAGTTAGAGGGTCATGGCAATAAATAAGTTAATTGTATGTCACTTTACCTAGATTTTGTTTGTTTGTTTACCTATTTTATATATTTTTTCTATGCTATTGAAACACTATTTTAACTTTTACAGGTATTACTGAGTATTTTAGCGTTAATGTCTTTTTTTTTTTTTTTTCAAAGAGGGACAAGTGAAAATAAATGTTCATGGCAATCAACATGATGCCACAAGTGCTGTTGATGAGTTTAACTTGTACTGAACCTTGAATATTGATTTAAGTATTTTGTCAGGAGAGACACCTTTTTAAATCTATATGAATCCTGATGTAAGATAAATATTACATCTTGCTGCAACTCAATAATTCATATTCCCGCATTCTTGCGTGACCATATGGCACTAGACAGTTATTCTGTTTTGTATATGGCTACAGCAGAGCATATGAATGCATTCAGCATTAACATGTCTTATTCAGGTACAACCTGAAAGTAGAAGTGTCCCTGAAGGTATGAGCTATTATTCTTCACACATGTTACATACAGGAAGAGCAATAAGCCTCTAAAGTAATCCTTGGAGGATTAGGAAAGGGTTTAGCAATTTTTGGATGCCGGTAACCAGCTGTGTCTGATATGATGTGTATGGAGATGCTCCACTTTATTGTGTGTAATTAATTAAATGTCATATCAAATCACCAGGGACTGGCAGTTAAATGTATAGGCCATGATGAAGTATCCCAAACTCCATCCGCAACTGAACCAGCCAGCATAAAGATTTCACTCCTTTTAGACTAATGAGGGGTATAATGTGGTGTGTTAAATTGACAGCTCTGGTTTGCTTTAAATTGTTTTATATTTCAATGTGGGATTTCAAAGTACTCCACAGTCTGTCAATGACTCAAGTATTCAAATAGATACTGCACAAATTTGCATGTCCATTAAATTAATGGAATTACTAAATGCGATAAGTACTTATCCCTTAAAATAGAGATTACTACCTAGACTAGTATAAGGATTTGTATAGGGAAGACTGGAGTGAATTGTAACACCATAATCTGTTCTGTTTTTCTGTTGGTTGAGCGGACAGGAGGATTGAAATAATTTCCAGTGTACTAAGATTGCACAACATGGGACTTTGTATAGTCTTTATGCACACACACACACACACACACACACACACACACGGTTGCACCAGTGCCCCCCCCCTTATAATTGCCCTGCTAACATTTGCATTTTAGCAATGTATTTGTAAAGTATATGTACTGGAAATAATATATATTTTTTTTCATTAAAGGGATAGTTCACCCCAAAATAAAAATTCTGTAGTCAATCGTACTACCCTCTTGTCTTTACAAACCTGTATGACTTACTTTCTTCTGTTCTGTGGAACACACACACAGTGGGAATCATATATTGGGAACCAAAGAGTTTTATTGACCACTGACATTTTTATTGACCATTGACATAACAAAAGACTTTTTCATGTTTTAAAGAAGAAAGTAAGTCATACTGGGATGCCATGAGGGTGAGCAAATGATGACCCTTGTTTGGGTTAAAAATAAATAAAGCCATTCTTACTTTGTTCCATGAACTGGACAAAAACACAATTCTTGAGCTCTGCTTTTATGTTTTGAGATGTTAGCCTCCACATGTATTTCCAATTATACGTTATGGTTTAAATTAAGAAATGTATTATTGGTTTACCCTTTATACTTTGAAATTAAACTCTTTGAAATGAAATGGGTTTGGGTTGTAGTAGTGATGAGGGCTACCATAATACCATTAAATAAATGCATAAAATGAAAATGTTTCAACTGTTGCAACATAACTCACCCAGGTAGTGAAGGTGGGTTGTAACACTGGTACTTGTTGTACCTTCTTTGAATTTGTAGCAGATAAATATGGGAATATCACATCAAAGTTTTAGATAAATAACGCGCGTTAACAACACATTGTTACAGCCATCCCCGGTCTCCCCACCTCATCTCACCTAGAGAGAGAGAAGAGAGAGTGTGATAAATCTGTGATCGGAAGGGAGGTCAGAACAGTTAAACCGCTGTACCTGTTCTACCTCAGAGCAAAAGCGCGTCTTTCCCGGGGAGAAGTGAAATACACTGACAGTGTCCCACCCATTTGAATTTTGCCGTTCGTTCTGTGTATTGGAGGCTCCAGGGCTGCTGGGGAGGAGCGAGGCTCGTCTTTATCAGTAAGACAGCGCCACTGTTCGAGCGCTATCACCGTTTGATCGGGACCCGCGCGGAGTCTCCGTTATCTCACCGCGCGCCACTGCAGCAGAAGGGCAAGAGGAACTCCTGAGAGGATCACTTATTTCATCTCCGCTGACCATTCCTGGGAGAAAAACACGGACTTAACTGACACCTGTCTTGGGAGATACTTAGTCGAAGACCTTTTCGTGTACCTCAGAAGTTTTAACCGTCTGTACCGTTCAACGTTTGTAACATTGGAACTCGTTGCTGCTGTTCGGTGAGGATGGGACCGTTGCTTGTCTCCATCGCCTTCTGCGTGCACCTCGCTGTTTCGCATCTCGTCAAAGGTTAGTGGCAGAGCGCATAATCTCCGTTTTTATGAATGATGTTGTTTAACTTTCTATTCCAGAAGAACGGGGAGACAATAGAAGAAGTGTTATAATTCAGCACGTCAAGGAATGACCTTAAATGTTCGTTTACAACAAAATGTTGTGCGTCTCAACATGTCCTATAATTAACCTCAGAACGCATGATTAGTTGGCAGCAACTATATGAGCACGTTAGTTGCGGATATTTGAAATGCCATTCATTATAGCTCATGCTGTATTTATTGGGCAAGTGAAGGTAGTAAGGGAGACATTATTTGCGCGCTATCCCATTGACAGGCTGCTGTACGGCTTTCCTGATCGTACTCCCACGGTTTTTACATCTATGGCAAGCTGTTGTAACATTTAAACCGTAAAAATAAGTATCGCTTTTATTGTACTATTTCTTATTATTTATTTTCTGGTTATCCAGTAGTGACTAGTATGAACATCTTTTTCATGTTCACCAACTATTCCTTAGATACTAGTACTTATAGCCTGTCAACAGTGGCTAAATTAATATATACTAGTCATTCTGCTTATTTATTTTCTGCTTCTCTACATATAGTACTTAATTTAAATCAGTCAATTAATTGATCAAACAACCAATCAATCCACTTTATTTAAAGAGCACAAATAAACTCATCAATACTTGCCCAAAGTGCTTATTCATTTTCTGCAAGTCATTATCCAAATAGTTATTAGTGTCTTTCAGCTTTTTTTGTATGTAATGAGACTTTAGTAGGCCTATGCAAATACGTGCATGCTTTGAAGAAAGTCTGCCAAATACATAACTGTAAATGTAAAACTGAAATATTCTAGTCACTGTAATACAGTAAGAATAGATACTTCTAAAAACTAAAAAAGGGATACTTGTCAATAATGGATTGCTTAAAAGTAGGGCTGCACCAATATGAAATTTTACTACCGATAGCTGATTAATCAGAATTATATTAAGATATATTAATAAGAATTATATTATTATTTCTTGCTGTAAACGACACAAGAAACCCTCTCATTTGGTACATTAAAGGTTAAAATGAACAACGACACTATTATATTAAATTAGACTATATTTATTTTCACATTTAAAAAAATACTCAAAAACATTTGTATGTAACGCAATTGCACATAAGGTCTTCATGTTATAATATACATATATACATATATAATTAGTAATAATGAAGTAATAATCAATCTTATAAATTAAGATTAAATCAGGATTATATGAGACATGATATATTCTGGTAAATTGTACTGTATCTTTCAACATACCTTCATTCATGTTTATGTCATGCTATAGCTTGTATTAAAGTGGAAGAAACTCACGCTCTGTGCTGCCACTTAAACTGAAGCTGCTAAACCAGGGGTCGGCAACCTACGGCATGCGTGCCAACAGTGGCACGCAGAGGGATAATCGCTGGCACTCGAGCAATAGGGAAAACTGCATACTGATGTACATTTTGATGTAATAACTTCTCATAGCCACACAGCCTGATAGGAGCTATAAATACTATTAAAGTGTGAGAATTAACTTGCGCTAGTCTACCGATGTGCGTGCGACCGCTGCACATATTACTAGGCACTTTAGATCAAAGACTCAGTGGTCTAACAGCGCTCGTCAACGTCAAAATGACTGAGATGGCCAATCAAATAAAAGTAGGCGGGGTTTACTGTTCACAGAAGCAGAGCACGAAGTGACAGTTTAACATTAAAGAGAGCGAGGTAAGATGAAGCTGCAAACAAGTATTGTCAAAAGACCCGGTACTTCGGTACTAAGTCGGTACTGAAAAAATGAAAACGTTACAGTACCAGGTTTTTTTAAGTACTGGTGGTACCAAGTACCCGGTCAACCCGGTTCTTGATGCGCTATCCAAAAGGTGCGCAGCTGCGCTCTCTTCGTAAAAGCACTGAGACATGGCAACATCAAAACGAGGAAACACACCAAACTAACAAAACACTTTAAAGACACCCAGATCAAATAAAAGAGTTCAAGCAGGTAAGTTTCATTTTAATTTTTAACATTTAGATCAGTGTTTACCATACATTGATTTATTTGTGGTGGCCCGCCACAATATCAAAACTGACTGCCACAAATAGATTTTCCAAAAGGCTTTGACTTCGTTGAATAAACATGAGCACTGCACATGTCAAAGTCAAAACCCGGGGCGGGTGTTTTTATATAACTGTATTTCTGAAGGAAACCGACTGTCTTCAGAAAATTATGGATGTCATTTTCATTTCATCTTGCCTGTAATGCCTGAGCAGCGTTTGTGAGCTGAGCGCTGCTTTGTGTATAGCCGTTTCTGGGGAAACGTCTATCTCTCCCGCTCTACAAGTGCCTCCTGCTGGCAGAGAATGATTTTGCATATATATGCTGCCACAAATAGAGTGCAAGTCTGGGGGAAACACCGCTTCTGTTATTAATACTATTCAATATTTTAATTTGAATGTCGGATTGAAATGAACGCTGTTATTAGAGTAGTTAATCGTTAGCATAAGCGTAGCTAACGCTAATATAATGAACATTAGAATGAAGTTTCTTTATTAACTATTTAATGCTCCTATAACTTTTATTAGGATAAAAAAACAGGAGGACATGATGATATTTACTATTTTTACACACCAGAGTCTTTTAAATGAATTGTGAATCTAAAATATGCGTGTTAGAGAATGTACAAATGGTTAACATTGTGTCATATCAGTCAGAAAAGCAGTTCTGTTCTTTTATTTAATTTTTTTTAGCTAACTTAGTTGTTATTCTTGGCTGAATAACTCTAGGTTTTCAAAAGCCCTTTAAAATTAAATATGAACACAGTTTGGATTAAATGAAAGTATAGTCACATTTTTTAATTAGCATGTTTTTGTGTTTTGCTTTGATTTCGAAATTGGTACCGAGAACTGTGGATTTTCACTGGTATTGGTACCGAATACTACAATTTTGGTACCGTGACAACACTAATGTAGCGATTCAGTATCAATTAATAAAAGTCGCATGGCAGTGCTGGCAACAGGTTTATGAGCTTCTGAATGTTACTTTTTTTTCTCAGTGCGATCTCAGATCTCTGTGTGCGAGCATTGTGTCTGCGTGCGCATCAATTAATGCAGCGCATTAATATAGAACGGTGATTAACCCCTTTGCTGTCACCCGGCATTTTCGGCATGAAGGCACAAATGACATACCCAAATTAAAAGGTTGCTGCTCATGAGTCTTTCTGACTAGATATATAATCAACATATGTTCACAAAGCTGACACTTCAATGTTTACTTCAAAGTTTACTATTCAAGAATAAGAATTACTCGAACTGTTATGATAATAGAGATATATAAGCACAAACATAAAAACAAAAATATTAAAAACATTTTTTTTTTAATGTATAAAAATATGTTGCTGTGGTAAATGGTTTTAGAAACACAATGAAGCTAAAGCCACAAGTCTACTAATGCCAAATTCCAGGACATAATCTCTAAAACTGTGAATTTTATTAAATATTTTTTAAGACCATGTCATGTGTGTTTTTAGAGAGTTTCAAAGGCTAATAAAAGGCTAATAAAATTGATTTATGACCCCTGTAAGCTCTCCTGTAAGATGTCTCCTCATGTCTGGCCCGGCAAACTGCCCCATTCATAATTCTATTGTTGTCACGCGACGAACCTTTTACACCTCCGCCAGGTATGACACATTATCCTCATTCCTTTATCATTATTCTTTTGTTTTATTCAGCCATTAGTAGCCTTTATCCTGGCATTACAAGATTTACCAAGCTACATCGCTTCAATCCCAGTATACATTTACCCAACTATAATCAAAAGTATTTCTAAAAAAATAGAACAAAACATTTTCTTACGACCTTACATCAATTATTATGACAAAATACATCATGAAAAGAACTACACCTGTGCAGTGGTTAACCAGAAAAATAAAAAATGGCACGTCATGCCGAATGTCTCGCCACATTTAAGAGCATCAAAATGGTATTTGTTGTTTGAATTTTGTGTTAAAATGTTCAAGATTTGAAAGCTGAGACTTTATTTCTTATCAGAAATAACAAAGCTCAAAACCCATTGTGATAATTAGATTAGAAAATACAAATCATTTTTTTAATGGGAAAACCTCAGACCTAGCAACCCTGATTTGAACTACAGGTGGTTCACTGGGTCAAATAGAAACCACGTTAAAAGTGTTGCGTTAATGTGTTATTATTGCTTTAACCTGAACAGCCCTAAATTCAACACAAGAAACATTTTCTTCATGCGAACTGCTGTCTGACATACTTTTCTGCTGCCTTTTGATTGACAGGAAATAATCGATCATCATCAGACCCTGATCATCAGCTGTTTTTAAACAATTGCCTGATGGCTGATAGCGTAGATAATTGCTTTTATCAGCCAATACTGATTTTTGGCCAATATATCAGTGCATCCCTACTTAAAAATAATAAAAATCTGTGCTAATAAAATAAAAAAAGCATACTAGTTAGTTTTAAGGCAGAGATGTAAAAATAGCTTGCCATATTACATCAGTATTTTGAGAAATAGGAGGAGACTGATCAGTTGTCATGCTGGATGAACTTGGGATCCATTTACCGCAGCTCAGTGGATGTTTCTTCCCATTCTTATCGATCTCCAATCACTGCCAATGTTTTCTTCTATATTAGACATGCGAGTGATGCACATCCATCTGGATTCAAATGCGCTGTCACTGTGAGAGTGAACAGGTTTCCTGTCTGATTCTTTTCATAGGGAGATTTACATCAACTGGATTTTTATCTTCAACATTGTTCACAGAGCAGCCATAAATGCTGGATAACACTTTAAAGCTAATGTTCAGTGTTGTCATGGCTCATGGCACATGTCAAAAATGTGTGTTGACGTAAAATTTGGCTTCGGTACTGTGACAAGTGTGTTTAACTTAATTGGCACACTATTTTTAGATTCTTCAGAGGTGATTTTGAACATTCTTCTGACTCGTATGCAGGAA